ATGACTTGTTGTATTGTGATTTATTAGATAAAACAGTGTGAAGGTCACCCTGATTAACTTCTGCTGCTTGTTATGACTTGTTGTATTGTGATTTATTGATAGAACAGTGTAAAGGTCACCCTGATTAACTTCTGCTGCTTGTTATGACTTGTTGTATTGTGATTTATTGATAGAACAGTGTAAAGGTCACCCTGATTAACTTCTGCTGCTTGTTATGACTTGTTGTATTGTGATTTATTGATAGAACAGTGATTTAAGGAACAAGTTTCTGTTGGCAGTAATATAAATGATTTAAGGAATGAGTTTCTGTTGGCAGTAATATAAATGATTTAAGGAACAAGTTTCTGTTGGCAGTAATATAAATAATTTAAGGAACAAGTTTCTGTTGGCAGTAATATAAATAATTTAAGGAACAAGTTTCTGTTGGCAGTAATATCAATGATTTAAGGAACAAGTTTCTGTTGGCAGTAATATCAATGATTTAAGGAACGAGTTTCTGTTGGCAGTAATATAGTTCAGAAGTTTATGAGGAGAATCGATGATTTCCTGAAGAATAAATTGTGGTTTGTAGTATAACTTTTCTCATGAGGAAATAAGCAAGAACAGTCTTAAAAGGCCAAATAGACCCTTTCTGTACATATTTTATGATATTTTAATGCTAACAACAATAAGTCTTTCAATTCTATTTTTAAAGATAGCAAATAGGAAAATAAGTAAAATTGTTTAAGTAAAATAAAGACCTACTGGAGCATAGCGATCATGGAATATACTGTGAAAAAACAGAAATTGGTAACAGAAAATTGGTAATAAACACTTTCCAATAGAAAAGCTACAATATATATTTGTACGATAAGAAATATAGTTACCAAAATACCTAAAAACAATATATAATAGTCCAAAAATATAATTTCATGCATAATTGTGAAAAAACATTGTATAGTAAAATATTATATATGTAATAAAGCTATTAATACACATTTGAGTTACAAAATAAAAAATTGTTTCAGTTACAAAACACACGCGTGAATCCATTAATATATTGAATCAAATCCAAAGTTAAGCCTAAGTGTAAAAGAATTGTCTGACATGATTGAAATCAAACGATACAACGTGTAAGAAGGAATAATAGTGTAATTCTTGGTAAGTATTACATTCACCATTTAATTCTATAGCTACTGATTGGATCTGAACTGTATGCACCAAAGTGCTTGTCGGACATTGGCTCTTGGTCACAGGGTCATTATAAGATAAAGACACACACTCATTGCACTTAAGTTGGTAATATGACAATGTTTTAAAATGGTACCCGAGAACTATTTTACAAAATTATCAACACCTTATCTGAATTCATTACAAATTACTAGAAATGTTGAAACAAAACACTAGAGAAATCCAGTTAAACCACCATTAAACAACTAGCCTGACTCCATTTTCTTTCCAAACACACCAAACTCAACAACTAATACCACCATTTAATTTCTGTAGTGCATATTGGTGTATAGAATACATTAATATTAGAAATAAACGACCTTACAATACCAAAAAAATACTTGTTAGCACCTATAATATTAATTATTTTATCTTTCTGTTATTTCACCTTATAACCTTGATATAACTTTTGTTTACTACAGGTAACTGTTAATTATTTCAACAATAAGATTTACTAATTAATATGTTAAAAGTATGCTGTATAAATGCATGTTACAGATTTTAATACAATCTATTTAACCATTGTACTGTCAGTTTGTGTTTTACTGAATGCTTCTGAAGAAGCTGTAACTTTGAAGATCTAGTGAAATAAAAACAACATTTTGGTGTTATTAAGGTTGTTTATTTCTAGTATTAACTAAAGCACCAGTTGACAAGAACTAGCCTGACTCTCTCACTTTATTCTTCATTATCAAAACACTCACAACTCAATACATAAAACCACCAGTTGACAACAACTAGCCTGACTCTCTCACTTTATTCTTCATTATAACAACACACACAACTCAATACATAAAACCACCAGTTGATAACAACTAGCCTGACTCTTTCACTTTATTCTTCATTATCAAAACACACACACAACTCAATACATAAAACCACCAGTTGATAACAAGCTTGGCCCCTCCTATATTACTTTATATTTCCACACATTATGCTATATTAAACTATATATATCTTATCAGTTTTTAAAAGCTTAGTGCCAAGTGGAGGTTGTTGGTCATATTCAAGGAAATGGGTATAACTTTCTTTTCTCCAGATTTTTTATGTTTCAACAATTCACTTAAGATCAATATCAACAAATTGTACAACAGAGGTAATTTTTGGTAAAAAAAAAAGGAATGTTAAGACAAAATAAGTAATAAAAAAAGTCATACCTAATTTTTCAATAAACATCTGTAGGGTAATTTTATTACACCTCTAGCAAATAAACTTAGCATATTTAAGAATAAAACTACAGTTGACAGATAGATAGAACTCCACTCACTTAAGATAGGGTCAAACCTTTAACTTCATGGTATACAATAATCAGGCACTAGTTAAATTATTGGTATGTATCATACCAGTCAGGAAGGTTATACGATCAATCTTCCCATTGTATAATTAAAAATCCTAAACTACTGTGTGGGTCTGAAGAGAAACAACAGTTTCTGAAAGCCCCTGGTTGTCTCTCAAACCCCTTTGGGGCTTGGTAGATATAACAACCTAAACTGCTGCCAAGTCAGTTAGTTCAATAAGTACGTTTCTTACAATCTCAGAACTACACACCAAGTTCTTCAAGTTACGTACTTAAGGTTCAAGACAGTATTCATTCAGTCCATCACTCTATGCAAATAAGTTAATCAGATTTTGTAAGCAGCCACCAACTGTGCCACACCAAGTTTTAATCTCATCAGAAATAAAAGCATGCACGGCAAAATAAAAGAGAAAGACTGTACAATGTAGATGCTCATGAATGTGGAGTATTAGATTGGTTATTGCTTGAGAATTGATTAGAGCCTATTATTGTTGTGAGTTATAATTGATCATAGAGTTTGTGTTATATTATTAAGGAAATTTTCTAATAATTAATAAGATTATGTTTTGTTTTGTTTTCTTCCTCTCTCTGATACTTTTTCCTAACTTCTTGGGTCTAGATCACATTGTTGAGAGAGAAGTTTGGAATGCAGCCATATTTTTTTGTACAAGTCAGAGTCCAGAATTTTTGAATTGTGAATATATTTATATTGAACTTGTGAAAAGTTCTAATACTTTATTTTTAATAATACTGGTATGATGTTTTGATTATTCTTAGTGTAGAATAAAATATTTCTTTCAACCTTATTGCAGCTACAAAATTACCTTACTTCTTTGCACATTTGAAAGCAAGAGGTTGATATGATAGAAGTTTAAGATTAATGCTAGGCTCCAAGTGTAACAGTTTTATTTTATTAATAGGGTGATTAGCTTTTGAAGTTAGTTGGCTTTAACAGTAGTGGAGGCCAGCACATTACAATAATTTAATTTTCTTTCCATTCAGGGTAATCTTGGAGAAATGTATGGTATCTTGCTGTATGTATCTTATGATTTCCACAAAGATAAATGGTGGATTTACATTTTCTCTCTACAGAGTGAGTGTAAAGAGACAGCCTTGAAGGATAAAATGGTTCCCTGTTAGCCATATGTAATGAAATATTGAATACAAGTCTAAAAGAGGTTATGATTTCATTGTACAGGTCACTTATTAGACCACATTTGAATACTGTGTTCAGTCTTGGGCTCCTTACCTTAAGAAAGACATTGAATTATTAAAAAGGGTTCAGAGAAGGGTTACTAGAATGGTGCCTGGGATGGAGGGGTTGTCATATGAGAAGAAGTTTAAATCTCTCAAATTGTTTTATCTTGAAAAAAGAAGAGTTAGGGGGGATCTCATTGAGGTGTTTAAGATTGTAGAGGGAATTGGTAGTGTTGATGCATCATATTTTTTCATATATAACAGTGAGAATAGTAGGACTAGGGGACACGTATATATTTTGGCAAGGTAGGAATCAGCTAAGACAGTTTCATTTTTCTAACAGGGTGGTTGGTCTTTGGAATGGGTTACCTTCAGATGTTGTAGAGGCAGTAAATTTATGTGAGTTTAAGAAAAAGTTTGATAAGTATATGAATGATAAGAGCTGGCTCTAAGATTTTTTTAAAAATTATTTTAATTTAGTTTAGAGGATGGAACAGCCGAGATGGACCAATAGGTTGCGCTGGTTTCTTTGTTTCTTTTAAGGCCATATGGTCTTCTGTCACCTAGTTTTTTATTATAAAAATAGTGGTACATGTGAGCAGTTTTTTCTTATTAAAATGTCACTGCCATTAGGCTAGTAGTCTACAAAGAACGACTAGAAATCTTAATTTAAAATTTCCAAAATAAATCTCCATAAACGAAATATAAAATTGACTTCATAAAGGAAATGGTTCAATTACAAAATTTAACAATTATGGTTGGGTTACCTAACACATCATAAGCAAAGTAGCAGCTTGATTTTCTTTACACCCAAAAACACCAACACAGCATAAGTATCATGTTACAAGCACCATTTGTGTGTTTTGGGCATCACACCAAGGTTCACTTCTAAATGTAAAATGCACTATGATTATGAACTAGAGTTATTACACATTATTCATTTTATAGAACCATTTCTTATTCAGTACTAAAATGGAACATTCTGTTTTATTTCAGATAAAACAGAACTGGATTTGTTCTTTATTTTGCCTTGGATGCATTATTATTTTATATTAAACTTTAGTTTCTAGTAAATTATCAAATGCCAACAAAATTGACTCATTTTATTTTTAGAACTGTACAGGTGGCAACCCTACAACTATGATTATTGTTGGGTTAACTTACTCTTACTAAACGCAGATGTAAGAGATTTTTTTAAAATTTTTAACCACTTTATTTTCTACAACTATTATTAACATTAAGACTATATCATAAATATAATATCTATTTCATTTATTATATACTAATTTTACTATAGCAATCCTGTAGCCTGAAGTTAAAAGTAAAACTAAACAATTCAACTTTCTATTAATATTAATAATATCAATAATATTACCAGCCTCAACAGTGTATTTTGTATGGATTTAAACTGCACTATGTTCTTTAATGTTATATTTTAAAATTATATATATGTATTATTATATTCTAACTTGATTTTTGACAAAAAAATCGTTGCTTTTGTTTTACTGGTCTGTGCAGTATACTAATACTATTGGTATTACCATATTATTTTGTTTCGCCTAAAAAAAACCAGAAAATTACGTATATTAATTATTATTCCTAAAAATATATACTAAATCTTCGAAATACTAATTTAGTTGTACTCACTAATTTATTCAGCTACGGTGTCAGAATACAGCCTTAGGCTTAAGCCTTATATATTATCATAGGTTTACACTAGTACAGTCTTCTCGCCACACAGTATTCCAAGTAGAAAGTTGCGAAAGTACGTATTACGTTTTCACAAAAGAAAAGAAAAAATATATATATATATATTAAATTTCGATATTAAACTTTTAAACAATTTTTTCTTGCCATCTTATTACTATTATTATTATTATTATTAGAATCTAAACAAAATTAAATTTTCTTAATCATTAAATCTACAAATTTGTACCATTCTTCTCCTTCGAGATGAGGTTGTTGAATATTAATTCTTATTCTTAATGGATACAAGGATACCAAGAGACAGGTTCGAGGATCAGTTTCCAAAATAAAGGAAGGCGAATTTTTTAATGGGTCATTAAAACCGTTGAAACTAACTTAGAAAACTAAACAAACCTTTACTGAGTTGTTGTCTTATATAGT